TCATTTGTCCATTTGTATTCACCCTCTCTCCCGCAGTGTTGTTGGTAGAAATGGAAGTGTGTTTTTAGTCATACGAAAAATCACAAGAATTTGGGGAAAAAAAAACTAATATTATTTTTAACAAAGATCTGGTTTAACCTTCACAAAGTATGACTTTAAATCTCAAACACACTTTCGATGGCATTGAAACCCGCCCTACTAGTAGCAAACGCACTCACTTTAACTCCAGATTTGCATGATAGAGCTGTGATTTACACAGTTTTATTGTCAAATAGTTTCATATAACTTATTTAATAAGTAACTTCAACATACAACTAAAATATCGAACATTTGTGGGTGCGACATTTGATTTCCATACTCATATTTGCCCATAACCCCTTATGTAAGTATTTAGCCACCAAACTTATGACCACTCTCTCCTCTCTGAAGAAGGCAAATCATACGTGTATTCATAAGTTTTGTGCCATATTTGTCCGTGCTTTCATCAGAAATCTCCGATCGCGTTGGTTTAAAACGATTTAATTTAAATGAACAAAGCACAATGACAGCCTTAATATTCTACTGGGCAATTGTTTTCAGCAGGAGCTTGTCTAAACAGGCCTATCTAATGATAATTACTTGCCTCTCTCAACCACAGAAATAGCTCAGTTACACGTTCTCTGGTGTACATATTTGTACAAGAGCTCCACACATTTGTCCAAAGACACTGTCTCCACTGGGAACAAAAACAATCGGTTTGTTTGGTTTAGTGTATTTTTGCGATGCTCAGTCTCAAAATCACTTAAACTTGGCGCAACTTAGAAGCTATGCCAAACCCCAGAGTTTTACCCAAAATCGAAATTGTATTCTCTCATTAACAATGACTCCGAACGTATCAAACAATCAATTTACAAAGAATCACACGAATGAGATATTGGCAAGTCTTTTCTGACAAACACTTAAGATTAAATACGATCTATCGCAAAATTTCAACTTTGGTACAGATCAGTGGTACCCCATTACCGCAAATTCTCTAGAAACACCTTAGTAACAAAAACGGGCTTCGTACTTCAATGGGATAATTTGTCATGTATTAGTAAACTGATGGGCCGATTAAACTGTTGAATTTCTTGTCATTGACATTCACTTGGGTAACATCCATCTCCGAGTGGAAGTTGGTCGAAAACGCCTGCATGACAAGCGTATGCATTGCTTAGCAGTAGCCCATTGTTTTCTGCATCCTTTGACTAAGACATTTAAACAATGACAATAATGCTTGCCTTGCTATAGTCCACCATGAGTTCTTTGAAAGCTGCAAAATCGGTTAATGTTGCGAGTATTTCGAATATCTCTCCATCGTACGAACCAGCTCGAGAACTAAAGGGTTAAGAGTAGTCTTAAAGGCGACTTTTATAGGGAAAAATAAGAGTTTGGTCAATATTTGAAGAAAATAATTGAGATCGTTTGTATTTAATAATACTTTACAGCACACCAGGTAGAAGGGGGTACTAAAACTGTTTGCTTAAATAGCAAAACTTTTTAATTTATGCATGTTGATTTCATCAAAATTAAAAAAAGTCATATTGAGTTTAAATAAGCGAAAAATTGTCTATTCTAGATTTGCAATTTGTAGCCTTCATATTGGATTGGTCTTACTTTACGTGATAAGCAACATGTAGATCTGAAAGGTCAAATTCCTGTTAACGTTGTCCTGGTACACCCTTACAGGTTCATTCTGTGCCCCACTAGGCAAATAAGGAAGCAATATTGACTGCAAAACTACATTAGCCACAACTTGTAAACATAAAAGTGAAGTTTTCTCAACAATATAAACAAGATTTATTCTGTGTTCGGCAGGAGTAAACGAAAGGCATTTTACAACTTGTAAGATGAAAGGCTCCGAACTTGTTTGGAACCCTAAAATTAGTTATTGACAATACAACTGCTGCAAGTATTTATTGTGAAAAAAAACTAGATATATTGTAACCAATCTCAATCCCGAGAGTGCACATAAAAATCTCAACGACATACCTAACCTGATCCAAAAAGTCGCGCAAAACAAATTCCGGGATTTTTTCACGCAGCTTTTGTTCAAGGAAACTACCAATCAGGCTTACCTAAAAGGAAGTAGAATACCAAGTTATTTTAGTTCAAATTGTGTTTGAGTAAACAAGCCTTTTGCTTAAAAGATCCATAGTGTTGAACGTAAAGTGACATTAACAAACTGTTAAATGACCTTGAGTCGTCATGCGTATAGAAGCAAAAATTCATTAGAATGAATAAGGCAATATCAAAATAAAACACAATACTGGTACGCATATTCTTAGCAGATTCTAAACAAATGTGCGCATTACAAACGAATGATAAATGAATAGAGCATATATTGATTGACTTATAACGTTTTACCAATAACAAAAGTTATGTTTGAACCATTTTTCCATTAGGATATTCCAGGCTGATATTTGTACTAATTAACTGACCGAGGATTAACGCTTATTCAGCTTAAGAAACGCTTTAATAGCTGACAGTTAGGCTAAAACGAGTCACTCTCAAGATTTTTTGGGGAATGTCTGTTTTCTTGAAGTAACCGACTTGAAATAACGGGAAAGAGCAGATCGTTTAATTAAGCATTCAAAATTGAGGTAAAGCCACCGACATTCGCTAAAGTGCCATTAAAAATAAAAAACCAAGGATCAGTCCTAAAAACCAAACACAGAAAGCAAATGCAGACTGAAAGTCAGGAGTTAGATAAAAAAAATTAAAGTTACGTTGGAGATCCAAAAGGGTGACAAGGTACAATACTCGAAAATTCACGGTTTATCTTAGCAGCAAAAGCAGCCCACAAACCAGGCCAGGGTTGCCCACGTTAAATCTCACATTAACTGTATATAAGCATAAACTGAAACCAAAAATAGCAACCTACATATTTACTGTGGACGTTATTGTCACACGAAGTTTTATCTTCCACATTATTCATTAAACGGTAATTTTCCTCCATAAATCCTTCTTGAAGAGTCTGAAATTCATTGCCAACAGAAATATTGTGCCAAAATACCACCTTACAAATTATAATGTCTTCAAGATACCCAATGATAAGATCAAATTCAGATGTGGCTTTGACAGACCTGTAAAGTAAAAGTTGCATAAATTATAAAGTTACGGAATAACAAGATCCTGAGAATTATCGTCCTCCTGTAACGGAGACGAATCCAAATTGACAAGGTCTACAAACGTGATTTTAATACACGAGCGTTACCTCCGGATTCCATTATTGAGCCAAAGTAACTATGTAAGCATGACAATAAATTTGCCTGTAACAAACAAATCACAAAATGAGGCATAATTTACGTCCAATGCTGAAAGTTTTGCAAAAAATTTTAAAAAAATTGTTATCATATTAACTTTTTTTTCTTGGCTCTAAATTCTGAGTTGATACAAACAGATCAGACACACCTTGCCCTTGTTGATTTGAAAGTTTAAATATTATAAAGGAAATTACCTAAATGAAAATTATTGCATTAATTATATCTACTGCACAATTTATACAAATAATCATTAACATTACTTTCTGCTTACTCATCTTAAAACTTGGATATTTGTAATCAACTCAAGGTTATAGTTCCTTGCTTCGTTTAGGTTGCACATAAATGCGAAATTGCTTTACTCTTTTAAATTATAAATATAATCCTTTATTATCATTCCTAATTGTCCTAAGATAAACGTACATGATTTCGACATCCGTTAGCCGTAACTAAGTTTGCTAATTTGCAACGCTTTGGAAACTGTATCTGCACCAATTTTAACATGTGAGAAACCGATAAATTCGTGAATAATCTGAAGAATCTGTAGAGCTGAAAGATTTTAAACGCTATCATTTTTCCTATTACTTCAAATGCAACATTCACCGAAAATGTCCTTGCTTATGTGTTTTTTTCTGTTTCATGAAAACAATACAGATTTGACCGATCTGAAAGTTCTATTTTGTATGCCTCTGTGGAAGAGATCACTATAAAGACGGATCCTTTACTTTTCATCCTAAACAACGTTTGTTAGTAGTTGAACTGCTGACTGTTTTGCGCAGAACAGTCTATTGTAAAGTAGTGTGCTATCAGTGGCTCTAATAAAAGAGGGCATTCCTGGTTGCACTCATCTGATTTTGACCATGCTCCAAAGACAGTGTCGCTATTGATCGCATAGTATAAGAATCGATTTAACACAATAAGTCGACATTGACGAGATAATAACAGTAGGAGAAAAATGAGTTTATTACAGTTTACTGATACGAACTTGTCCAAGATTGCAAAAAAAGTAGCTGCTCATAATTGTTGCGTAATTTTCAATTAAAATGCGTAAATTTGTATTTTATGCAGTTTTTAACCTGCGGGAAATTTGAACATCAATGAGGTCGAGTAAAAAACGCGTTCATAATTTTTTCAGACTTTATCGAAAACATTTATTATCATTGATCGATTTATCAAAAGTGGCTCTGAAAGAGATATGCTAATAGGGCCATTAGATAAATTTTTTTAACTAATTCCGTTCCTTCTAAAATTTTTCTGGCACTTTCAAAAATGAGTAAGAGCATCGAAGTAAACTGCCAAATATCCTCTTTCTTACTAATTCGACCAGTGCTACTTTTAAACCGTTTTACTTTAGTTTAGAATGGCTGAAATATTTATAAAAATCGGCATAATTGTACTTTAGTATGATTCATTTAGAAATGCCACTAAGCATGCTTTGTGGGATCTTTTGATTTTTTAATAATTGCTACATTTAAATCAAATCAACTTATGAAATGATGATAAAAGAGTTTGCATGCTAATAAATCATAAAAAAGTTAAGAAGTATTGTTTTACAAATAAGTAATTAATTTTAAAGTGTGATTTTTCTTTCAAAGCAATTTTTTGCATTTGTTTTACTCTACAAGCTGAAGCATCAGCTTGTGTGTGCTTTTTGATTTGTTTGAGTCATCTTCCTATTGGCTTCATATTTCTTAGTTTGTAATACCTTATCAAGTTAGTATGGCTAGTACAAAGACTAAAAAGCGTGTTCGATCAAGGACGCAACGCTACACGAGCAATGTTTTTTCTATGTTCACGGAAGCTCAAATCAATGAATTCAAGGTTAGTAGCTTACTAGCAAGATTTTTTCGATTGCCTTTTTTTCTTAACACTGCTTCTTATCTATTTCCTGGCTGCTTCGTGAATGTGTTTTAATTTTTTAAAACTTTTTGACATATGCTTTTAGATAATTTTGCATATTTTTTTTGGTCTTCTGATTAACGGCTTATGCTATCTGCCTTGTTGCACTTGTCCTGGTAATTTTTTTTCTCAGACGCTCTCGACTGGAATCTCCAAATTGCTCGTTATTGTCTGTGATTGATCGATTAGCTGTGTAAACCTTACGAACCTTACCATTCATTTTTGTTGGTTCCCTTGTTGGCTAATCCCGACAAGTCTGTTGAAAATTTTATAACGTTGCAAAACTGCCCAAACTGAATCTGACTAATTAAGGTTTGAGTTACTTAAAAAGATAACGAGAAGCTCTATCATGTGAAGCATTGTCTAAAAATATTGTCTACTACTAATCATGCGCTTGGAAATCACTATTAGTCTGTTCTAGGGTTCGGAATCATGTATTTGACTAATTTTTGCTGATTTAGCAAATTGAATAGATTTTTCAGGTTATATGTGATTGAGAATGAGTCAATACTTCCTTCACCTTAGCTGTATCGTATCCTAGTGGGACATTTGGCTATCGCTATCGGAGAAATCGAAGCGTGTGGTGTATATATGCCTTAAAGCTTGTAGCTGATTCTACAATTCATTAATTCACACCTGCTTCGCTATTTGTTTGCTTTCCGGCCAAAAATTCATTTCCCACTGAAAGGCTCTACTTCCTGCGCAATTTCTTGTGAAAATATGATCATTTTACAAATATGCGATTCTACTTGATTCCATTCCTTGTATAATCTTATTACCTCTAGGTGTCATTGTTGCATTTAGTCAAGTTATTTGTATGCATGTTTAGGTATTAGCAGATTGATATTTATAATTAGCTCGGGACCCATTGTCGACATCTCAGTTAGCGTTGTTTCCAGAGCTTCATGGTGTAACATTCAATAGATCTCTACTCACTATCGCATCCTGTTATCGGCTATTGCACGAGTCAGGGTTGTGTTGTGCCTACTGTCAACATCTGGCATGATTAAGTGTTTCCTTCAAATTGCAAAGTGTTATGCCTTAATTTCTTTTTCTCAGGAAGCATTTTCCCTTATTGATGGTTCCAAAGACGGCATAATAGACCAGGGCGATCTGGAGGAGGTATTTCGTTCAATGGGAAAGAATCCGACGGAGGCTTACCTTGAAGAAATGCTAAAGCAAGCTCCTGGTTGCATCAATTTTACAATGTTTCTCACATTGTTCGGAGAAAAAATGATGGGTTGCGATCCGGAAGATACGATACTGAACGCCTTTGCCCAATTTGACCCAAATAACAAAGGTCAGTGGCCTACTTATGGGGCAAGCTTTTCTGTATTTTAAACATTTGGGTATTGTCCTTTTGTTCTTAAGAGTGAGGTGTCATTGGTTGTTAATCTACTTCAGTCGGTTGGAAAGCGCTGAAGGTGAGACATAAAGCACACTTTAAAACTATCCTAAACATTTTCGGCTTCACCAATTCGTTTATTTCGCACTAAAAATCGTTCGTAGCCGAAACAAAACAGCGCTGCTTAGAAGTTCTCAGGTCTTAAGTTAGGTACATCTATGAAAATCTTGGTGCTTTTACTCGTTATCCGTTTTCCGGCTCTATCTAGGTGTTGCAGTTTCCTTGTCACTAACGCTGCCAATTAAATGGCTTTCATAATATACCAAATCCACTTAAATGTGTCTTACCCAGCGGTGATTCAAGTCAATAAAAGATGAGTTTTAGGTTTTTCTCCCACGCTTAGCGTTTTTGCGAGTCTTGACAGTCTTTTAGGAGCCTCTTGATGTATTCCTATGTTAATGTCTTAAACGTGGTTTCCCTAGCTTCTTGTTTGTCCGATTCACGACACCGGAGTAAAGTCAAGGTTCCGAATCAATGCATTTCATATTCCCACTTAAACAAACGCGTATTTCCCCCAAAGTGGTGAATTGGTTTGAATGATTAAATGTCAAGCGTGTGCTTCTACACTTGCGCCGAAACGATACAGCCGAAGATGAATGCACAGTCATAGGCAACATTGCCAAACTACAATGGTTTTTATTGTCACTAATCATCAAATTAAATTTTTTTAAAATCCAGACACTAACCGTGTCCCATTTTTCAAATTCTTCGTTTCGAGAACGCAGGAAAACGCCATATGCGCAAAGTACACACGATTAATTTTCCAACGTGGTTATTTGCCATTTTCTCATTGCCTGGATGATCACGCTATAACTGCTGAAATTTGACAGTTAAACAAGTAGCTAATCCACACCAGGCATTCATTTCTTTACTAGACTGCCCAAGGTGAAATAGAGGGTGCCGTTTTTAGAATTCATCGGGAATTTCAGCATCATTTTCACTGTGCATTTAAATTACCCTCACACCTACTATGTATTACTACGATCATTCTGATTTTATGTGTGTCTAACCGACCGTTTTGTCAGGTATTTTTTTCGACCATTCACCAGCGTAAATCATGCATCGTCGTCTCGTTTCGTAGCCCTTATTTGAAGGCTTCTGGCGTCTGGTATAATGCAGATCTGATTATCACGGCTTCTGCTAAAATAGCCTCTGCAAAAGAATTGTCCTTAAATTGTAATGTTTGTGAGTCTTTTACTCCAGTTTGTGCGTTCTTTTTCCGCGGGATTCCAAAAAGAGCAGGGCAGTTGCTTATTGGCAAATGCTCCACGACGTAAATCCCCCTGTCGTACCTGCCCATTGTACTGCCCCTTCCGAATTTGCATTTTATTCACTCCTGCAGGGATTGGTTGTGAAGCCACCTTTGCGTCATCCCAGCAAGCTTGGTGCCGACTTGCGTGCGCGAAATTTATCGCCTACCTTGCATGGATTAATACCATGTGCGCGGGTGAACGCGTGCGCGCAGAAACCCTCTGTGTTACTCACACGGCTACTTGCGCATACGTGCGTTCGCGTCGCCTGCATTCACTTCTGTGTGGCAGTGACCCTTGTTGTAGTAGTTTCACTCTCGCTTATGCAAAGTTGCTTTCACAATGCAAATGCGCCGTGTGCTGGCGACTAGGTTTTAGGCTCTCCCCGTTGCCTGATTAAAATCGTCTGTAAACGAACTCGTCTTTTCATTGGTGCCTGAGGTTCGTGAAACTGTTCCACTGGGAATCGATAACCGGAGTCGACAGTGTTCACGGTCAAGGCTTCTGAAACGATCATTCGTCTTGTACAAACTTGGACCAACAAATACAGACATTTATGTTGTATTGGAATCGTTTGAATCGCACACGAAGTTGCTACAATATTCGGTTAGCACTTTCTCGTACTGTGCGATTTCAAAATTAACTGATTATTTAGGTCGGTTTATGCGTTAGTTATTGAACAATTGCAGCTACATTTTATACAATTCTGCTCTAGTTGGTACTATGGGTACGTACCACTTCCAAGTCTAAGGCTTGACATTCACATCGAATACCAAGTCAACGATATCCCGATAACCGATGTTCTACCGGTTTTCAAATACTCCAAGCATATTTGTTCACTCTTTGTGGTTGTTGCGCCTCGCTGTTCGCAGACACCTCTGTGCTGTTGTATTTATTTGAGATGTCTTCCTAATATCTCTTGTCGTTAGATATGCTGGTTCGGTCTACTCGTCCCTACGTGTCGGGACAGGTTGTTTGCGTAGACTTTGTCTTCTCTGTGGTGTCCTCTAAACTTATTGGCAATTTATTCCCTCCCTTCCCCTCAGGCGTGATTAATGAGGAACGCTTAAGAGAACTGATGACCACAATGGGTGATCGGTGGACCGATGAGAAGGTGGATGAGCTATTCCATGGAGCGCCTATACAAGATGGGGAATTCAATTACCGAGAGTTCACGAAGATGATTATTCACGGTCAGCAGGATGATGAAGACCAGAACCATCCAATGGCCCGATAAATTTTTTTACGACTCTTGCTAGCACGAACTCTTCACTCCACTTATATCCCACTCGTTCTTATTCAAATGAATTTGATTTGCTTCTAACTGGATTCTGTACCAATAATGTCCACAGGAATTTGTCATTTCCATTAATTCGGATGGATAAAAATCAGGAAAGAGACAAGCTTTTGTTTTGATCAAATTTTGCGAGCATACAACTAGTCGTAGTTGAAAGCATCGACTCGGAATAACTGAAAAACAGGAAATCCACGTGCTAGAGGTGAAGCGAACGCAAACAGTGGCTGATGGGAGAAAAGAACTCTCACGGCCACTCTTCTGTTCGCCTTATTCATCTACCAATAAGGAATGAGTGGTTCGGTCGGGGAATTTGGTATTCGGATGTTTTGAAGAACATGATAATTTGGGTTTTTGTGTGTTGAAGCAATCACCACAGAGGGCGAGTTAACTTAGGGTCATCGCAAGGCTGGTCACTTCGATGACTCCATAATCACTGATGTGGCATTTTATGTAAAACCAGACTTGAGCAAAACTGATGTGCCTTTCACGCCCACGGTATTGAGTGTTAATCGTTGTCATGATCAACTGCAGTATCAATTAAGTGCTTATCTTGTGGTCAGTCGCACGCATTTGCTACAAAAGTCTGCGTCAAATTCCCAGATTATCTTCGATTTACTGTTGGTTGCGTGACCTAATCAATCAGCCAGTCATAAGGTTGGACTGCTATCGCAGTTGCTTTTGTCAACTTAGGAGCAATCGACCAAAGAAACACGGAACAAACGACCAAATTCTACATTTATCATTTGTGTTGTTAAAGATATCGGAAATACGGCAAATTCCCCAACCAATCCCTACGAATGGTGGATTGTGGTCCATACCTTTAACCTATGAGTGTTTTCCACATCAGGCATCTAACTGCCTCAAATCACACACGCTAGACAAATCTTTAGCGGTGTGGAAATGCCCCACCAACTGTAGAATTGTGGCATGTCAGAGACGAGGTGAAGAGGAAATGGGATCGTGAAGAGCCAATTTTGTATTCCATGGGACAATTCTGGCGTTTGATCATTCAAACATTCATTTAGGCTACCTTGGAGAATTCAGGAATATTTAAATTACGATTTAAATTAATAAATATACACATAGCGTCCCGATTTAGATGGAACTACGAAGTTCCCCTCCAGATTGAGTGTAACAGTTGATGTAAACATCGCCTTAACTAAGGCATCTAAAGACAACTCTAATTTCTTGTTTCAGAACTGTCATTCATCTAGATATTTATTTCGACATCTGCTCTGAAGTTGATAGCAAATCTACCACGTGTGTTGTGAAAGCAAGAGAGTAATACCGGTACACCCACTGTATCCAATAAATGGGAAGTGTCTGGTGATGGGAAATTGAACAATTTAAGGACGCATTTCATTGTTTCATTTCGGGGAATTGTGGTGAGGAAGAGAATCAAGGTTAGGTGGTTATTTATGCTTCAATGAAAGCGACTTCGAGTTCTATTGCATAGGCAAAACTACCGCCAATGGACTTAGGAGGCCAGCCAATGAGTTATCAGCACCCTATTCAACCAATGATCACCGAATTTAACAACGGTGGAGGATAAGGTTGTTTGGGTTGGTTTATCCAACAAATCAAGCTCACCAAGACCGACAACAACTGCCCGGCCTTCTTGCTTAAAAGATGACACAAGTTGAGTAAGTCTGTTGTAGAGTACGAAAATGACTAATTTTTTGTACGTTTTGTCCGTAAAAGACTTTAAAAAGTCAGCAACTAAAACGACTTCCTAAAGTTGAGTGCTACAAAGCAACACATACACAAACATATAACTTCATAGCAATATTTCCCGTTGACAGATAGATTTGACAAACCGACTGATACACTATCTAGGTTTGTTCTTTAGTGAGTGGTCTAAGATATTGGGCGGGCGAATTGGGAGAGCATTTATCAAGTTCGTGGGGTCGGTCGTGAAATACTACCTCGTAGGTACTTCTAAGGACAGTGAGGTAGTCACAGACGACGCAAAGTTGCATATCTGGCCAGAATTCAATGATCATCCAGTAAGTTGTAGAATATACATGGTCGAAAGGGTAGGGCGTTATACCGATCAGCACTTTGCATTAGTGGTGTATTCTATTAATGACGTGAAGAGAATTAGGTTGTCATTTCCGGGATGGTTCACCCATTACGTTTGGGGTTTCGGAAACAGGTGGATTACTATTAGATTACTTAAAATCGAGAGAAGGCTTAGTGGTTGCAGCGCAATTACATTGCCTTAAGTATTGGACGCCCGACGACGACTAAGAACTCTATGAAGGTGGCATGGTCTAGATACAATGAAATAAAAATAGCACACGAATACTCGTATAGTACAAGGCGGTTATTTCGAGAGCGACGCTTCCATCCGGTTTACTGAATGACGTCCCACAACTAACAGATCAAATGTCGACTTGGTAGCCTCCGGCACACTCAGAAATTCCGCATAAAAGGGGTCACATTCTACGGGCTCGGGTGTGCGCTTGAATAAACGGTGCTTCGCCAAGAGTTGCGAGCCCTGGGGAGTGGCAATTGACAGGCGAATGTCCTCCTTCATGGGCCGCGTGCTGACCAGACACACGGCCGGTTGGCTGCCCACAACTTGGCCTGGGAGACTGGTTGCAGTGAGGAGGACTTTGGCCATCTTCGGCGCAGTCAGTCTACGCCATGCAGGAGGCGTTTCAAAACCCTCTGGTGCGTCTGCCGGGGTTAGGGGCCAGGCGGAGAAGTGCGAACGCATGTTGTCGAAGGCAAAGACACCAGACGGACTCTCTGATGGCAGCAGGCGGTTAAGAAAGCCACAGTAGTTTATCTGACCTTCTGCATTGAAAACCTACAATGGTAGGAAAAGCGACCGTGGGAAAAATGGCGCGATGCGATCAAAAGACAAGTGAGGGCATAATTTGTTTGTTTTTATCCCTGCATATTTCGAAATCCGAAAGGTCAAAGGTACAGTGACTAATATGAGTTGTAGACGGATTTCTTGAAAATATTGACGTCGCTCGCTAGTCCAACTACTTTTTTGGAATGGCAATGTCGGTCAATAACAGACAACTGCGTCATTATCGTGATGGTTTAAAAAGAAGGCACTACCATGAGTCTGGGAGGTCAAACAGAGATTGGGATTTTGTATTATCCGGAACCCTCACAATCAAACGGGAAACTACAATTTCACGTGGTAGTATCTAAGCAATATGTTGTCAATAAAGGCCAATCAGCACAAGGTAGTCTTAGCGGATTTGTCAGAAGATGAATAGCATCTATGACTTGCAGCAAACATTTCACCAATTACAACACACTTAATTTTCACTTTATGTAAACTGGCCTAGACACACAACACTCAGCGAATGGGCAGCTGTCACTTGGTCGTTTCGGCACACGGTAGCTGGTTGTTGGCTACTTTGCGACAAATGCGACTACATTTGTTAACTAGATGCTATACTTCCTACAAACAAGTTCACCGTTTGTAGGATTTTGACATTGAGCAACGATTTGATGGGAACGTTGATGATTGGCACTTTGGTTAAAAACAAGAATTGAAATTGGTGGTCAACAATGCAACTAACCTCAATCAGGCGATCATCATTAGCGGCGTCAAAATCTGCCACGCACAGCAGACCATCGTCTGCGCAACTCAGAAGTCTGTGTGAATTGCTCGAGGGATCAAATGTCACATGATTTACGTGATCGGAATGAATGTCATCCAGTATATACAAAGGGCGTCCAAATTGTCGCGTATCCCAGCAGAGGATGTAAGCAGGGGAGGTATCGTCGTCGTTACTACTGTCATCGTCACCATCAGCATTCGGGTTATCGACATCATTAACACCACGGCGACGCTTAGACGGCAAAGACTTCTTGGTACGTTTCCTTTTCTTTTTATTGATACTTATGGCGCAGGAACCAGCACAAACGAAACGCGCATCCGGACTTATTGCAGCGGTGCTGAAGGTAGCACCCTTGTGGAGGACGTCACGGCCAGCTTCAGAGACACTAGCCTTGAAATAAACATGCAAAAAGCTTATACGACTAAATCTGCCAAGTAAGTTGTTAGCTGTAGTGCACGATGCGACCCGATAAAAAGCCATGTTATTACAGAATTAAATTCCATTCATTGCTCCCTAACCAACCTGAAAATTTACTTCCATCTTGAAGTAAGGTAGTTGAAGTTACATAGTCCTGAGCGAATACGTAATGTTATGGAGTAGGTGGCTAGCAGAAGTAAAAAAAGGAAACCTGAAACACCATATTAGACGGGCGTCCAAGCCAAAATCGTGGCGAAATAATCGACAAACCCGGAGAATTTCAGGTCAAAAGACTCATAACAATCCCAAACCAGCACGATACAGCAACGCACCTAGTAATGTTAATATATCAAACAAAATATTTATTCATGGTTGTTCGATCAGACAGAGGCAAGTTATTCAAATTAGCCATGGCTTGACAATATAGCGCAGGAACTTTACATAGAAATCACAGGATTACTCTCAAGAACATAACAAACAAAAGCATTAAATGAGAGAGAACGATTAGAACCTTGCTTTTACAAAGTAGGAAAAACATTAGCATACTGCCTAAAACTGTCAAGGCAAGCAGTATGCTACGTAATTGTTTTCAGTAAGGTTTCTAATAGAAACGCAATAATAGAACATACGGGTCGCCTTGGCTGTCTGATGTCCCACAGCCGAACGATCCCATCAAAGTCGCCTGACAAAAATGTATTTGTTTGGGCTCGAGCATAATCAACGGTAACACATCGCGAGGAGCCTTCAACCTTGAAGCTCGTCTTCTTCAAAGAGACAGGGTCAAATATGCAGAAACGGTCCTCTGAACACGATACAAACAAAACTCCTGGGGCGTAAACTGCTGCCGTAAATGTCAAATCAGGGAAAAAACGCCTACGAGAGTTTCTCAGTAAAGACATGGCTAAAATATTGATAACAATAAGATATTGGGTGAATTTATTTAGTCCTGCATCATGAAACTCAATAATAGCAAGATGAGACTAAATTCGCGGAAATTACATGACTAAGGAAAAGATGCAAAAATAATTAAAGCCAACCGGGGAAATACAAGCAGGTTAGGCAGCTCAGTGGGACTCACTGCACTTCCTTCAACATTAACTTGGCACTGAGGGGACAATGTTTTAACTGAAGAGACTTTCAAACTCTTCTAAGGACCACATTTGCAAAAGTAATTATAGGAGCTGCCTAGTTCTTCCGGGTTAGCAGGTCCCATATGCTTGGACAAGTTGTACAAGCTGTGAAATTAAAATGGTCATAGGCTGAGATTTCCATAAATTGCTGTCCTTTATAGTGCATTACTACAAAAAAGAATCCAGAAACATTCGAAGACCACAGCTCAAGATTAGCGCATGAGCTGAAATGGCAACTCGATGCTGTCAAGTCAATTATGCACACATTTTTGTAGATGAATACGAGCATCAAAACCTTAAACTGTAGACCTAACTACTGTTGTGCAATCTAAGCATTTACCAAAAAACGACTACTTTTCCGTCGTAAAAATCACACAATATGATAAGTTCGACAAAAAAAACAACACTCAACCTTAAGTTGGCCGTTTAGAAGACGCACCTAATTTAACAGCAGACTTTAAAAAAATCTAAAGGTCATATGATTTGCATAAACAGAGTCCTGCTCACTTTTAATTGGATTTTGTGTACAAATTTCTCAAATATTACCTGTTTATTCAGCCAAAATTTAATTACAACATTGTTTTCATAAGGCAGTTAGCATGAATAATTTTAGCCTTGTCAGTCAAAAAAAAATAATTTGCCACTGCTACTTGATTGCAACATTCCATTTTAAACACCGACAACATTTTGAGTTTAATTAGTGTGCCATTAGTTCACCAGAGCAATGCGGAATACCTGACCACAAGACGTAGAATTGAAATGCAATGTAGTTGCAAAGCCGAGAAATGGAGATTTATATGCAATTTCTCGTGCCGAAATTCGAAAATGAAATAAGCTACAGCCTCATACATAACGTACTATCCAATAGTAAAGATTAAGCCAAATATTAGTCAAACCGTGGTCGAACTTTCTCGTCATTTAATTTGTGTCTTGGTCGGTTAATCAATAATTAATGTTACACACCAGCACTCACTAACTTTCATAATTGCTTTGTTTTTCATTATTAACCCTTAAAAAAGTGTTAAAATGTTTTAAAATTTTAGCTTATTGGTACTTATTTTGGCAATTTTCTTGATCTTGACAACAGCCGATCATTTTAAAAAGAATCATTGAAGGCTACATTAATAACAGTGTCAAAATGCAAATATTTCTAGTGCACAAAAGTCCTTTATTTAGTTGTTGTTGAGGTATGCACAAAGGAATGCATTTTATGCGAAATATGTGGCAGATATATGTTTCAAGCACGGATCAAATTTTGGGCAATTAAATTTTGCTTCATAATAGACGCATAATTTCGGACTTGGGTATTTTTATTGCAGTACATTTTAATAAATTATTTGTTGGCAGGCCCGCTTTTGGGGCTTTTTAACCAACCAATTTGTATTCGTTATGTGCTCTGACCAGTAAATAGAGTTCCAAAGTCGACAAATAGAACGAAAATACCGAAGAATTTATTATGCACTCCGATGGATTGTGGCCTAATCGCGCTAAGATCCTTAAAATAAGGGCGCCTGCTTAGTTCTGTAAAGTATTGTGCGTTGCTTTTAAAAAGGATTTTCTAATATTTATGTAAGATCAAATTATAAGTACCTAATTTCATTTGGCGTGACTATGTACCAGCATATTTATAAATAAAAGTGATAAGTGGCTTTAGAATGGTGGTTTTGAAACTGTTTTTGTGGGTTAAGGATACTCTTAATTGACGAAGTCGTTAACGTAATTTTTCGGTCTTAATGATTTATAATTTAACAATCTTCTTGATGACTAACGTTGCATGGCTCCGAAGTCCTAAACTTTTGGTAAAAAATAATTTGTCCTGAGAAGATTTGAAAATAGTTTGCCAAACTAAATAGTTGTGATTTACTATAAAAATCCTAGTTCATTTTTTCTACCTGTCCCATGCTTTTTTATGGGTTTATTTTTGGCAATTTGGCGGTGCGCCTTTTTCAAAACATTAGTGTTTGTTTTTTGCTGTTTGTATAGGTATGAATGTGAGGAAACGTAATGCAAGATTGGCTTCTGTAAAGGTATTACTATGCAAAATAGCTCAACTGTATTCATTTAGCTTAAGTCATCGTATATGTCCTATGTGACATCCCGTGAGTATGGGCGCAAAGGGCGTTGTATTGGCGTCGACCAAGCTCCCCTCTCTGATCGGCTTCCTTTAATATGGGATGGGAGGTCATTGCCACTATCATATGAGGATAAAGTTTTTGCCAGCCAATGGATTTCGAACGAGGAACTCCTTATTGGGACAAAATGTAACCACTTTGGCCTTTTGAATTGCAGGACTTGTAAAATTATCGATATACCGTTGCTCGAGGAGACAGAAAAGTACGTCGAATTTCATGTCACTACTCTCCCAGAATTGAATCTCAGGAACAAGTTTGCGGGTGTGGGATTCATGCCATTCAAAAGAACCCCTCGCAGACCTTTGTGGCCACAGGGGGTAAAAATGTGACAACTATTGGAGTTTATAGATTGCCGGATCTCACTCCAGAGTGTATATTTCAGGTACGTTTTTGTGTACTCGGTACTGCCTTCAGATATTAAATATCCTACTCATGAATTTCAATTACAATAATAGGATTGAAGTTGTAAAACTCACAAATATTGTTTACTACCCTACCTATCACAGTAAAATTTTTGTTGTCATGCTTTTATTGACTTCAGACGTTTTAATTCTGTTTGCAATTTAACGTAAACGGTTAATATTTTACTCTCTTTTTAAACAAAATCTATTTTTGGGCCATCACTGTTTAATTCCGCTAGCAATTCGTATTTTGGTTGGCCTTTGTATCGCCGACACCTACTTTTTGTTGTGGATCCATGTGCCGATGGTTGGATTAAGTTTTTAATAAAACAGGCCTCTATTGATCACAAGTCCCGTCTTGATTTTACTAAAGATCACGCTCCCTCTTAATATGAACGCGTTTAATGCAAGATTGCATCCCGACTAGGCCTAAGGAATTGAAATTTTGTTTAAGTGATTTTTTGCTGTAGGAATCAGTGATAATTATTTTGTTTCAGAATGATTGCAACCGCACTCAATTTTATTGAAATAGGAAATACCATGTCTGAAAGCAACTAACCTGTATCTAAAGTCGCGTTAAATATCAAGCTACTCGCTATACTATCATTGCTTATAGTCCTTGGAACAACGACCATACTTAGTTTACATAGCGTAACCACGGCCATCTAGACATAATGAGTTTTGCATCTCAAATCCTGAAACAGTTTCCGCTCATCAGTGTCATTTTTAACATTTATGGTGGTATAATACTTTATCTTAACAGCCAAAAGCCTGCTTAAATATGTTGATTCATGTCCACTAAAATCGATATAACTGTTATTTTACAATGGGATGTAGCTTTTTTCTCTGCCCCTGTAGAAACAGCACAAAAATTGCGTATTCGATTTGCGGTGGATCGATGACGCTCACCTGGCTTCCTGTTCACGAGACTCCTGTCTAGCCCTCTGGCGGTTACCCTGTGCCGATACATATTTACCCTCACTGCTGAATCACGATCCAGGTTCCCTAATAACAAACCCCCGACCTGTTCCCTCGCACGCTTCATTAAACACCCCCGTGGGTTATGCCATCTCCACGACTCCAAATGACCGGTTCAGGGCCCTCGAATATCTTCCTACTCGCAATATGTTGGCTGTGGTCTCCATGTCGCGTCGATTTTACCTTTACGACATTGATCAGCTGTTTTCTTCTCACATGGGCACTCAAAAACCTATAAATAAGATGCCTCTTCTCTCATCGGACAAGGTACGTGTACTTTTCGTCTTCGTTTTGCGTGACTTGTCCTAATTTATAACTCACGCTGATCCCTTTTTAGGAAGCAGTCGCTCTTCGTCGGTGGCCAAGTAACCCTCAAGTGGTGTCTCTGGCAACTCATCGATCAGTCCTGTTGTTTGACATCCGTTGTCGATCGCAGATTCGAAGAATGGTTTCACGTTCAATTAAACCACCCTCCTCTTATCATTCTTGTGTCCGATCACTTAATTTTTCCGGTAACATCCTTTCCTATGGTACCTCTGCAGGCAAAGTGTACTTTTACGATTTGGTGGCTGACAACCACCTACCGAGTCACCTCGACATCGAAAGCCAATCCAGGCAATTTAATTCTCCCCCATGTAGTCACTTTAACTATTCGGATCCATCTTCAGACGATAGTCTTCCCGACCTAGCCTCAGATCTCGGCCAGAACAACACCAACGGTGTATCTGAAGAGGAGGGAGAAGATACAGAATCAAACGAAATGGAGTTGTCCTTTGAGTTTTCAGGCGATGCTTTTCCTTCCTTCCGAAGAGCCAACATTCGGTTAGCTACCTCGAACTCGCCCGAAATGTCCACTCTGGACAGAAGGTTGCTTGTTTATCTTCAGTCCGCCACTCCCCAGACGGAACATCACCAACGATCTTTGAATCAAATTCGTCGTGCCGCAGCCGCCCTGCGACGTCGAGTTGTTAATACTGCCATTCAATTCACAGCTGATGCAGTAGAATCGGAGGAGAACATGGCTGTTCGACTTTCTAGTGATGAAGAGGGTAACGAAGATGAATCAGATGATGGTGTAGACCTCTCGATGCCAAGCGGGTCCTCGGGCATATGGAACCAACCACCTCTTTTTGAGAATTCAGAGCTTCTACAGAATCTTGGCTTCGATACTCTAAATTGGGCTAGGGAAGGTAGTTTGCCAGCCCTTGGTACCAGTGTAGCCGTCTACACACATGAATATGACCCTACTGGGACGCGTTTGTTTACTGCTGGCGGTCCCATCGGCTCTGCGTTCTCGGGCAACTTTGCGGTTGTCTGGGATTAGGAGGATCCTCGAATACCCAGAAGTCTTTCCATTTGCGAAGATCGCATTTCTCTCTAAGTTGTAATCATAATTTGCTTTTAGCTGTGCGGATGGAACCGCATATGCACTCCGAGCTACGTGATATTGACAACGACGGTACCACTGTTATCCTAAAACTTTTGCTATCTTCTCTTTGCTGACATTTGTTCGATTTTATGAACACTGACATGCCTCATCGTTATAGGCCTCGACAAGACGTTACTGCGTTGCGTGTACAATAATTATTACCATCGCTGTTCAGTGCTTTTCCTTCAACTTGTGAATGGCAATAAAAATATGTGCCTGTATTTATTCTTTTTCATTTTTCTGACCGTTTGCATTTCCACTAAAATACATTTTGCGCCAAATTCGAGCTCTGTTATTTTTGTGTTGCGTTTATCCAAGAGCTCATGGGGTCTTTCGAAGACAGGTCCTAGCTTATTAATCCCGTACGATTGTGCATAGTTAATATGCGTGTCCTGGTGATCGCAAATCCAGGCTTGATCTGTTCCTAAGATTTGTAAAGCCATTCGCTTGTAGGCCTGTGTGGAGCGATGCTGGCGATGTAAGCGCGGGTTCGCTCCTAACTAGGCATAATTGGTGCAGCGGACTACAGGGTGGAGGAGGTGGCTCAGGTCTTGAGTTGTATGCCACGAGTGTATTTGACGTTTTAAGCCAAAGTATCTAGGTCGTACAATTTTTTATGCGCCTACTTCGAACTAGGGGTCTCCCGTTAACATACTAACCCAAGACGGCAGCGCTGTCACTTGAATTTCACCAGTTGTAGGTCTTACAGAAAAAATTATTCAGGTATTTTCAAGGAAATTTTTTTTCTAAGATCGCATAACGAATTACTCCTATTTCCATTGCTTCCTTTACTTGCGACATTGATCGGTTATTGGTGATACTGGCTGTGTAGTTGTTGCAGCACGATGTAACATCAAGTACGGAGTAAGAATTGAGGTGGTTGTGTTGTGTCGTGCGTGCCGTTCGCGCGTGTGTATAGCTCAGATGTTTGATACAGCGTAAGCCATAAACGACCTAGGGGATTGTTATTAAGCTTGGTGATAATCCTAGATAACCGTTTGCGGCAATGCGTTGAGTTTTCTCTCGGCTGACGGCTTGCAGTGAAAGGGGAGAGGGTGCAGTGCGTCGGAGAACACACCGACCGGAAAAAAACTAGTTTGGCTTAACGTGATTCACAATAGATTTCATAGCCAATTCCTGCAAATTTAGAGATGCTTTAAAAATGTACTGGTAACCAGCAAACAGAAGTCTAGGGGTATGCGGGTTCAATATTTGGCCTTCTTTGATTCGCTTCTAACTCACCGCAGACTCGGGAACGGGATCCGACATTGTTGTCCACTGTGCCAGTACCCGACCCAACGCGCCGTTTTGAGAACTAATGCTGGTGTTTGATTCAAACGCGCCATCAATTTCAGCATCGTAGACAGTATTGAAATCAATGTTGTCCAACTCATGCAGTTGTTTTACTTGCTAAGCTCACGAATGTCATCTGATTACACGACATGAGGTTCTAACCCCAAGCACCTCGGGCGCTGTAGACACCTGTTCATTGGCTTTAGTGCAAATGGAACCCTGGCGGTTTCCACCTCCGAGTATGTTCGGTTCTCCATCGCCAGCTTTCATTCGTTATTCGCCTCGCCCTCTGCTGCCGATGTATTCTCGTGCGAACCCCAGACTCCTCCCTCCGAATTTCTTCCACCACCCTCCGCCCTGGACTCGCCCTCCACCCCCCGCGCCCGAGGACGCCTCGTCGATCGTGGCGCGGTGGGAAGCCGAGGTCTCTCCCTCCGTCACCGAACGCCGCAAGGCACTGGAGGCGAAGAAACGGATAACGGTTATCGAATTTAAAAAGAAATTGAAACGATGGAAAGAACTATTGGATGCATCCGGCACTTTGGATTCACAGGTAATCCTCTGTAAATTGACTTCCATTTTGTTCCAATGTACTGTACCTTGAATACTGCATGTGCTGTATTGTGTAGCACGCCTTCTTTTAAAGGAGAACATTTTGCCACGCTAAGCAAACTGTGCTTCTCAGATTGCTCTGTTTATGATTGCTGCAAGTTCATAGTACCGTACTCATTTTTGGCGTTGTTCACTGCTTCCCTTTTTGTTCAACAAACAAGCAATTATTTTTGGACGTATCGTTTTGTAATGCTTTTACCTCTCTTCGATTTAGTTGTGATGATTGTTGTTTATCTTGACAAATACTTGAAAGTGAGGGATGTGTCGTGAACCTGTTAGCATTTGGGACGTACTCGCTATTGTATTTAGGAATGAATAATGTTTTTCCACAAATTGGCGTCACATTTGTGTCAAAACACACCTACATACACACACGCACATGTGATTAATGTTGTAGTCAGCATGTGTAGACAGGGTTATCAGGCGATTCTGTTCCACACCCTTTATTAAAAAAAACGGGGCTGTATCGATGCCCCAACACCTGTTGTTTAGATGCTAACAACTAAGTGAATCGTGCTCTACTTAATGCCTTCGCCTAATGTTATTTACTGTGGCGAATTGAGAGTGCCCGCAGAGGCAACGCTACTGACAATTTTGAAAGTAGAAATAAAAGTATTGTGAGGAGGAATCGCACGTCACAGTGAAACTCCCTACCAAGTTACACGAGGCCACGCCATCAATGCACAAAAGTGGTGCTGTTTGGTATTAAGTAAAATCAGGCACATAAAGGCAACCGTATTAACGGCCACTGGCTATGTGTTTCCGTTGAACTTGAAAAAGTACATTTTTTGACCACAGGTACTTGGAAGTAGCAACGCTAGTTCCTTGTATCGACTTTGTCTAAGAACACTTTTAAGCAAATAATCGCAGCTCTTTACCTGTAAAAAATGACGAAATACCTCCGCGGTTTTTTGTTCTTCATTTATTTCATTCAAATGAACTCATTTTCTGAGCCCATGTTTCACCTTTGCAACTTGCCACGAGAAAGGCCGAGACCTCATTCTTTTAATCTCGCTTTGGTCATCCCAGAGCTTAAATCTGGTTCCCCTCATGTGTTTTGAGAAAGTGATTAAAATTAACTTGTGATACTGGCCGTATGAAGTGCAGTTGGATTTTCCAACATAAGGAGTGTTAAGGACTAGAAACTTGGGTGTTATGCTAGCCGAAAACAAATACTTCTCGTTTTGTATCTATGGAAATTGTAATTTTTTTAAAAGAAATGTTTGGTTCGTTTGATTTCTTTCCAGACTATTGTTCAGTGTCTCGACTTAGATTCCACGCTTGCGCTCATAGATCCGGATTCTGTTCACGATCACATTATTACCCTCATCCAATTGTCGGGTGAGCTTTATCTGTCACCAACGACGTACTTCGTTGTGTGTTGCTTGAGTCACGTCGCAGTGGATCAGGTTAGATCGTGGTTTTTTTGCACTCAACCCACCCGGCGGTGTTATCAGTCCTTTCTCAACGGTCTGCATACTGCCCATCCGCCAGATGCGTCATATTTTGTTCCGCTTCTAGCGATTGGCGTTCCGCCTCACTGGCGTCATCCAACCCAGTCCCCAGTCTCCTTATGTCGTCTAATTCCCTTTCACAAGAAAACGCTTTTTTGAATGTTACAAAACCACGTAAATTTAATCTGTAATGTCTCGATTATTTCAAAATTCAACGAGAGTCTGTGCGTCGAATCCCCGTTTTGAAAGATCCCTTCTTTTAAAACCGCCTTGTGACTGTCTTGAGATGACTGCGACTTGGCAAACGTGTCCCCTGTCAGCACTGGATTCAAGGTACCTGTTTAAGAACGTTTAATAGCCTCTACCTGCCAGGGGTCAAAGGCTGCTGTCTCCCCTCTCTGACACCCTTGCAAACACCGCCTGTCTTAATGTTGCAACCTGCTCTAATGACCCTTGGCAATCAAATTGTAGGAAGAACTTGACTGCCTCCAGCGGGAGTGCACAGATCCTGAGATTCTGGAATTCATCAAGCGTAAAATCGCTCGTGGTAGACGAAGGCGACAAAACGTACGTAAATTCATTTACACAAGAGTATTCCTGCTGAAAATGCGATCTTCCCATGTTTTTTTTGAATGCTGCAGCACAATACCCTTCCCATTGTTCTTCCAACACCTGTGTCCGAGACATTGTCGCATATCGCTCCCGCTGATGTACCTCCTTCTTCCTCACAAACCGTGTAAGAAAGTCCTGGTGAGACGCCTCCTTTACCAGTAGACTTCGCGAAATGTATTGTGTGTGTGCTTGTGTGTACGGTTTTAGTGACAAGAGCCTTACTCCACCAGGGAAGACCGTTGAGGACGATACTATACCAAGGCAAAAGTACCTCGACGAGCTAAAAAAGGCCTCCGCATACTGTCAAAGCAGACTGGGGCTGCTGAAAAAACTCAAAATTCTACGCGAGGCTCGAGTCAACCAGTTCAGAAATCAAGGTTCGTATGTGCATTCTAACCACTTCATCTAGTCCCCCTTTAAAGGCAAACTTCTTCCGGTAGAACTGGACATGGCGTTTGAAAAAAAGAGGTCCTCCATCCAGGCTGACGTGGAGTCGATGCTGCAAGCCATTCGAAAGCTTGAGGAGCGATTTAAGGCACTGTTTTTTGTTTCTGTTGACTCAAAATAATTTAGTCAAAGGAATCGGAAAAAACAGTTGAAGCTCCGGAGCCCTGTGAATCTGTTGCACCAGACGGCCTGCCCGAAGACATATACACTCTTCTGTTTGGTTCACGAAACAAAGGTACGCCTGTGATCTTCTACATTTGCCCAGATGTGTTGGAACTTCCCCTTGTAAATATCAGTCCTATTTCAGCGACTAGAGGGGGCCCAACACGTTGAAAGGTTAGATTGGTGTCTGCAGGACTTTAGTGTTTAGTGTTAAAACTACAAAACAGCAGGATATGCTGCCTTGGCAACCGACGTGAGCTGGAGTGCAAGCCCCTTCGAAGACACTGGCAGCCGTTTCGACGCTGAATGCGTCTCGTCAGCACGCCCTAGCGAGTTGCAGTAGAGAAGCGCTTTTGGGCGCAAGTCTCTTAGGCTTAATTCTTTGAACATTTCAAAAAATCGTTTTTACTTTTATTGTCAGCATCTGATATTTTAACCCTTTCTCCGTCTATTGTTCTGTTTATTCAGATATGGTAACGCAATGGACCAGATTCTACTGTCAAGCCAACAGGAATTTCTCGGATTTTGTGCGAATACGGTAGGAATTGAATTATTCCTATTCTGACTAATTAAAATCACCGATTTAAATCTAATCCTGTGTGTTATACCTAACAGACAACCGGGAACGCCCAACGCCACGATTTTTTTAATCCTAAGCCATACGCATCATTTCACATTCCGTGTACACCAAATGTGACAGAGATTAGCGTCTAAGTCTCATCTTTCAAGGTCGACCCGCTAGAGTCGTTTTCCCTCTTAATGATTCTTAGTTTTCGTCATTGACTGCGCGGGTCTTTTATGCAGCCGCGTGCATTTGACGCTCACTCCGGACACGAATAAAGTAACTGGATAAGATTTGATCACGATATCTCAACCTAAGACGTATCTGATAATCAAGGAATTACCGCAGTTGTCTTCGATGCAATTAGCATTGACAGTTAATCGTGCCCCCATAGTCACAAGAACTCTAGCGATTCTAAAAATAACAACTCGTCTAAGAATACAATTTTGCTTCCTTAATTTCAAGTGTGCATTTTAACTACGCGCTCATTTCGGAGGCACCGATTAGCCCAATCAAAACCGATGCCGTAATCGAATCCCGGCAGCTTTGTGGGGACATCCACTCTCCCAGGAAACGTCGACGATTATAGAAGATCGACTACCAGTGGGACTGACGTGATTCAGCTTTTATTAAGGCCTGAACATTGTTCCCCTGTGCGATTGTTTCTTTTGAATTGACGTCAAACTATCATAATTCCCGGCACTACCAGGTTCTACGGGGTTTTATACACGAACCGGGCCGCACCACCTTATTGTGGTGCGGTCTCTCACCTCCATTTGACCTTCCAGAGAACAATTAAAACGAGACATTGGTCAGTGTAGGTGAATACAAGGATTAGTCTTCAGAATGCGTTTTTCGGTTGCTGATTCTCGTCTAGGTGCTTAGCCGGAGTTAGCTTCGGCTGTTAGTCATCCCTTCAGGATACAGTAATGAACGAGATCTTCGGTTACCTGCTCCACAATTTAGTAGTGTAGTGCCCGTGGGTCAAAAGTTTGGTAAAGTGACCTACAGATTCTCGTTTTCTTCGGCCATTAACTTAAATCTCAACCACCTCCCCTCATGCGTCGTGCTGTAGTGTTAACAGATCAGTGCTAAATTTTGTTTTGGACAGGGTAGTATTTACCCTGAACCACCAGTTGTGTGTATGTGTGCATGTAGAAGTGACGTCACAACGTCGTGTGCCTACTGCCAGAATGCGACGTTCACGTACGTGTGTCGCGAATTCTTGTGTAGTACGAAGGAGTGTAAACACTACTGGCTTGGATGGTGCATCGATCGAGTAATCCGATCGCTTGTTAGGCGATTGTGCACTCGTCACGTAGTTTCGGTTGTAACCGGGCCAGGGACCAGTAAATGGGGCACCTGGGCCGTAGGAATTTACGTGACACTTGCCAATGCACTACGAACGTAATCCCGTTTTGTGGTAAAATTTTTGGGCAATTGAGTAGTATTGGCCCTCAAATGTAAGTGGAGATAAAGCAGTCCTTCCGCCGGCCTTTGGTTGGTGGGATGAAATCGCGGCTGTGTGATAGCATACCTAAAGCCTTTCATCTGCTTCGTGTTTTTTATTGTGTGAGTCACCTGAAAACCATTGTGCAAGTGTGCTTCGAGGAGATTTTATGCGCACACTTCTCACAGGCAACAGAGTAGCGGTAAGAGTTCTCGATTCTGCCTCCCAGTGTTGCGTTTCGCCATCAGCCACTAACCAAGGTTGATACGATGTTCGCCATTACGCGGCCAACATGCAGTTGTGCAATTTCAGTCGGAAGTCAGACGATCGAATTTGAGGGTTTCGGGGAATTGTTGTGTTTTTTTAGCGTTCTTTTTTGGGGCGTGTTCCGAAGATTTGCTTGTATGAAACCGCCTCCACATCATGCCTTCGGGTTGCATTCTGCGTGAAACGAGCTAACGCGCTCTTCTGCCGTGCCAAAGTGCAACTTGTCAACACGTTTCTTTTAGCCTCTAAAGACAGATTGGGGCGAAAATTAATTTTCTTGGAAGCTAGATAGTCAAATTTTCTTTTTAACAGTGATTCGCTCTATACTGTCTTCATTGTTTCACTTCACTTTTCACTTATTCCTTGTTATTAAATCAATAAACTAAGCATGGCAGTTGACCAATGATATTCGAGTGGGTGCACTACCAACACACATGCAAGATGGAGACCCCTCTATAGTGCCTTAAAAGTGGCCTTGTTCTGTAACAGGAGGGTAGTCATTTGTGGACGCATTCGCAATGCGGAAACATCAAATTACTACACCGAAAATTTCTTTTTTTGAGAATTTGACTCAATCTGGAACGCCATGAGTTTCGTCATGGACTATGACTTTGTCGATGCCTTTGTTAACACACATGGACATCACGAAACGAATATAACTAAGGCATGCCTTCTGTAAGCAACATTAATCCACTAGACTTTGAGGCCCACCATTGAATAAACACACCAGCAAAAGACAATCCGGGACGTGCTATCCTAGTCCATAAACTTAAATTTACACTTCGTATGCAACAAATGTGTTGAAGCGAAGTGCCGTGACTAAATTCGAAATAGTGTTACAACGGGAAACGGTACAGGAAAACCAAAGGAGTAGGCAGGATTAGCGTGAATGATGCTGTGCACTTTTTTGTTCGCTCCATTCAGGTCCCATTGGGACACCTACCTCCTGCCTCGAGGCGCGATGGAGGGCCACGAGCCGGGCGACCCCAGTCGACACCCTGCTTCTCGTCTGCCCATCACGTGGGAACTGCCTCCGTGTCGTGCTGATTCCTCCAGCTGATGCATTCATCCTTTCCACGTGAAGCTACGCACACACACACACACTTGTAAATTCATTAAAGCGCTTTGTTACTGCCAAGTTTTGTTCAGCATTCTCGAACAGTACGTCTAATACCCTGGCGAAATCACATCCATCTTCTTACTGTACGCCGCAATGGAGGTTAGCAAATCTGTAGCAAGTCACTTTGTCTCGATTGAATTAGTGAAGAAAAATCGGCTTGACCTCTCGCAAATTGGTATTGCTGCACTAGATGAAAACGTAATTCCAATGTTAGCCCAAATGCGAGCACTTTTACCATGTGGAGAGGTTTAACAGTCATTGTCGGACTGTTAATGTGCGGATCGTGCTGGTGTAACCTCCAACCTAGCTGCACTCCTCGCTCATGCAACAAAACGCAGAGGTGATCGTTGAAAACTGTTGGAGCTAGCGTTTTCGCGAGGGTTCCATTGAACAGCACCTCGTTCTGCTTGTCGAAGATTTTTATAATGATAAGGTCGGGGTATTTTGCGACTTTAGAGCGGCAGTGCTGATTTTTTCAGCCATGTAGTGACGAATGCCCGGGGTGCCATCGAATCATGAGATTTGGAAGGAATCTCGCCTTTCTCAAGGGCGTCTGCGTTGCTCTATGTAGTAGGCAGTCGTAGCCACTGAAATGCGAACGCTACAGCCAGTTGAACGTGGCAGTGATTACACCTGCGCTAGCATCATCAACAAATTCCGTGAATCCTCTGAACGTACCCAAAATGACATTGCAGCATAAGTCTCGAAGAGGCGGTGATCAATTTTGCCAGACCTTGAGACCCGCTCTTAATGTAACCAGATAGATATTTACGTGTGCAACGAGTCAGAACTAGTGCTCATGACTTTTTGATTGGATAATAGAAGCCTTCCACTTGCAGTGAGCGCTTAGTCGAAGTCGGTTTTCGCGTCTGAGTCACAGTCGAGTAATTCTTGCGAAAAAACACTAGGAGGGGATTAATTCTGTTTCCTCGGAATTCATGACTTCAAATTTGGTCTTGTGGCAATGCTTATCGAGTTTTCATGGATGGCACAGAAACGGGGTTAAAATGTCTTCAAGTTTAAAACTTCTGTCGACAACTGAATTACAAGTAATTATTGGATGCTAAATGTTTAGAAAGGGTTTCGGTAGGAATATCAAGATAAATAGCATTGCGTTTCTGAACCAATATCCACCTTCAATATTGAATTCAACACATCCTCCATAACTCAGGTATCATTAGAGGTACAACTAAAAGAATATCACCCATCGAATAACTGCCAATCTTGTAAAAGGCTTACTCCGGATTACCGTACTGCAGTGAAGTGCATATTGTTACAATCACTCAAGGGAATGCAACGAACGTCCTTCCAACGTCCAACATTTTCGTAACTGAGCAGTTAATCTAAGATTAATTTAGTTGGCTTGTAAACGCATCGATAGGTAAATTTCATAAGCATCACTAATGTGGCTAAGTATAGTATAAATAGTTGTGAAAAGGGAAAATGTAGGAAAGTTTCCTGGAATATTCCCGTTCATTTAATTACGTGGATTTGAAGCATCAATATCGAGTTCGCTCGTTTAGCTGGATTACTAATTGAGACCCAGCAGAGCAGTACTAGATCATCGTCACCAGAACCTCGTCATTCTCACACAACGATCTGAGCGCCCGCACGCTCATGTGCTTGAATGTCAGCCAATCAGAAACCGACTACTGGTTCTGCCAAAACCCACACAATAAATCATTGTGATTTCTCTTAAGTGCTTTACTCTGAGCTTTGGTGAGTTAACAAGACGATAGTGTAAATCTAGTGTTTATTTTCTTCAACATTTTCTTATACAAAGGATTATTACTTTAGTGGTTAGATTGTTTTGAAATAGAAAGTAGATTCCCTAATAATATCAGTGGCCAAATTTTGATGAGCCAAGTGAGTAGACCAGAAGCCATATTAGTACTGATTGAAAGGCACATCAACTGGGATATTAAAGATCATTGAGTTTGGGCGTACTGGGTGTACGATTCGCGGAATTGGGACAAATAGATTGCCATGAAAATTGTGTGATCACTTGGAGTCAAAGGACATAGTCATATTTAATTTGATTGCTAGGTCTTAGCAAATATCAGCTGTTGGTTAATTAAACAGAAAAAGCCCATGATGTGTCCCCTGAAAGGTGAACCTTGTGTATATATTGTCTGGCACATACCAGGAGCCTCCGGCAGCATCTGTGACAGGATTTACTCAAAACACGTCACAAATATGAGCAATGCCTGACGCCTCCGCACACTTCAGGCAAAGAGGATTGGCGTAATTTTCCCGCGTTTTCACGCTGAGCATTAATACTGGCATCCTTGGCACAATAAAGGTTTGTTTTGTACTGGTTTACATTAGACGTTCATCATGGTTCTGATTCTACACCGGAAGCGCTGGGAGAAGGCCAACACGTAATCTGCTTTCAGCATTATCAGTGATTGGACGTACAACGAATTTAACAAAGAGTTTGGTAAGTGCTTATTCAAAGAACCTACCTTTCAACTTGGTTTACTTGGGGAAACTTGATAAAGATCAAACCACTGCCCCTATTTTATTGGAGTGCACTTTTTAAAAAAAAACTTAAACCAGGATGTCCTAGTTGTTAAAGTGTTTGCGAGCTATTGGTCATTTATCTAGCTCACTGCAATTATGGTCGAATGATATAAACTGTGTGAATGTTATTCGTGACGGGAATGCTCATTAGGATATTCAGCGAAGTCAAATTAGTGCTGCTAATGTCCCTAATAATAGTTCCCACTACCACAAATTCGCTTGCTGCTCGGTTTCATTGTACTACGACATCAGGACATAAGGCTTTTAAGAATTTTCAAAGAAAAAAAAGGAGATCAGATGTGGTTAGTGCTCATTTTCGTTCTTACTTCACGTCACACTTTGTTTTCCGTGGGTCTTTTTTTAACTGTTTGAAAAATGGCTTTGTGATTTGTGCTGAGCTAATGGAGAAGATTCTGACCACACTAAAGAAGTTCTGAACTATTAAAGGTAAAGCTGTTACCCGAAAACAATCTTGTGCTACCTTTTTTCAATCTCAGGTTACTGAGCAAAAGGAACACCTTAGTTGCCAATCATAAGCACTTACCTTTTTCATTAGTGCTAGAAACTTGAGATTAGATTGATACTTGATTAGCTCTTCAGTTATGGCTCTGAATTTTAAAGGACTAATAAACTTTGGCCCTTCTTGCATACTTCAAACAGAAAAGAATTTGTCAAAATGGGCCACGCCTGTGGCGTACTTTAAACCCAACAGTCAAGTGTTTTAAAATTGTAATCTGAACACTCAACAAGATCTATTTCGGAGTCATTCTGATCTTTATAAATTTTGAGCTACCTTATATCAGGAATGAGGACGGGAATTTATTCAGCAGCAAGAGATCTGATTGACAAGTAATCTGTGTCTGGTGATTAAAAAAGACGCTCAAAATGCAATTAAAACGTTTCTTCTGACTTGGCCGAACTGTATACCTTACCTGATCTTTTTCTTTTCTTGTCGCGTGTTTTTGTGGCGCATTTCGAGCGTATTCCATGGTTCCTCTGAATGATGACGATGATGCGCCATCTAATTTGAATGATCACTGTATTGCATTTCATTTAAGAGAAATTGGTTAAAACGGTTTTATCAAGCCTAATTGAATGTTCGCACAAACAAGTTAAGTGTGCTTTCCTATCTAAAACAACTGTGTATCGTATGTTACGCCAGTTTTTGCACAGCTTCAAGGCAAAAATAATTGTAAACTCTGTCCAACTACCAAGGTATTAAGTGACCGATAGAGCAACATTACGTGAAACTTATATTCTGACAATCTGCAAAAATAGTCCAATGGCATTCAACATTGACAGTAAATGCTTCCTGACTTGAGGTTTAACGCCTTACCGTAATCGTGTTCATTAATAAAACGAAAATCCAACCTCTAAGCATAAAAACGAGAAAAATATAAGTAATGAAATAGGAAGGCTAAAAGAATAGATGAAGCAAATGGAGTTTTCTGGTAGCACAATTTAAGTTAGTACAAGATTCAATTTTCTGAATTCGTTTTTAGTTTCGATAGTTACACGCCGCAATCTGTAGGGATTGAGAACGTTAAGATTTTGACAATCCACATGGTTAACAGCTTTGGAAACGCTTAATTTATGCAAACAGGAGTTAAATGGGATGCATCACAATTAACCTTCTAATGAAGCAAATTACTTGAAATATATCAGCTGCTTTTGATACATACAAAAACACTTTCTATTGCGTAGCTACTTCCATATTTTGACTTATGAATAGCAATGTTGTCCTTAACTATCAACGTATACGAAAGTCAAGTAAAACCACAGCTCTAAAAAATAATTTTTCGATTTAAAAAATATCAGACACTGCTGACATAACCACCAGAGAACGTACAAATTGTGAGCTTACCCTTCTTAACGGTCACCCAAATAAAAGGAATTTCGCAATGCCTTAGTGTATATACCAACGTTGACAAATTATTTGGAAATATCCATTTAAACAGAAATGTCCTAGTTTAGGTTTTTCTGTGATAACGATTTGCATTATTTACTTGCACATCACTAATTATAAACCCACTTCAATCAGTCGATTATTGCCACTTGCATTTGCAATGAATAAAAGGGTTACACAGTTATGTCTGTGAATTTCGCACCATGCAATACCTGCACTTTTGTTTTCGAGCACTGCGTAATACTCAGACGTGCTACCACTCTGATTGAAAATTTGGCCAACTTTAGGCATAGAACCTTTAATTTTCAGTTGACCGAATATTAAAGAATGTCTTGAAGGTAAGGAGGGTCCGTCGGCTCCCTGGATTGTTTGAAGTAAGGCTGGATCTAATTCACCGTAACTTGTGCTTTAGCAAATAAATTTCAAAAATACCCAAGATATATGACCCGCTTTATGGCGAAAAATTAATAGCTCAGATTATTTAAACTTTTATTAAGGGCAAAGTTACAGTGCTTGATGATACATGAGAGAAAGACGTTGCTATCAACAACCCAACAAAACCTCTCAAGTGTATAAAAAATTATAGTGTTGTTAAAGAAAATATTTTCCTAAGATAGCCGGTGATTTGCCGCAATATGCAAGAATACATCGTTTTCCTACCGTCATGGCTTGATACCATTTTTTCGACTCTGATTAAATCGGAATTGGGACAAGGTGAACGATTTGATTCACTTGTTTTGAGAGCATGTCTTAAAAGTATTATATTCTATGCTGTACAAACCTTTGAAGGAGCCTACCTTGTCTCCAAAGGTTTTGTTCACACAATTAGGATTTGGTTCAGTAGACTAAGGTAGTGGTTGCTCAAAAATTTGCATTATACGTCTCACATCTCCAATATCGACCGTAAGCTATTTTCCTGTTTGCTTTCCCTCAAGTACGCAGAAGTTTATAGCCCGCATGTTTATAATCCGTGTGAAAATCCCTAACAAAGGACACTCATTTGTGAAGTTGCGTGGAAACCTCTAACGCCCCACAAACTAAATTAATTCATGACTGTACCGATCGGAAATCTAGTGTATTCGTCAAATGTGGCCCTTCAGTGGGTTTTGAATGAGGATTCTCAAAGTAGAGACTCGGATAAGGTCAACATGGTAGAAAGCCTGAAACAAACTTTGTTTCTCCTAATTATGAACAGCAACAAGATTGTATTTTATGTTTTTCGATGCCGTCCCAGTGCACGCTCTCACGTTCGGACTTACATCCACCTAAACGTACCCATATGTACCAAAAAAGTACGCGTGTACACTGCAGAGGACACATTATTGTGTGTGCTGTCTTGTGGGAAAGAGCACGCATTGTGTTTGCACTAAAGATTACTGTAATACATTTTTCCATCTACAATATAGGTCGTCATTCAATATGTGGTAATTCTCGCCTTCTTGGAAATCGACATCTCAGTGGATGAGTTATTGGTGGAAAGAAGCAAGACTGGCATCCAATCATTTAAGCCCCACCCTAACATTAAGAGCATCCTATCACGCCTTTTGAATAAATCCTTACAAAAGTGACTTGTATTGTCTGTGTGATTGAGCAATGGAGATTTCTTTTGAATTCTCCTAAAAGCCTAACTTGGAGGTCGTTGCAATTTTGCCATTTTTGCGCTACTCAGATCTCCAGCCACAAATAAATTTGCAAAACATGAATTTCGACTGTAACGCCGACGCCGAAAAGATTTACAATGCATGCAAAGGCCTGGGTAAGTGCTCGCCGAGTTTAGTACTTTAATCTCGGGACAAAAGTTTACCTCCACTTACTCCAGCCAAGTGTTTTTATGGGTCATTGTGGGACAATGCTAGTATCGCCAAAGGACTTTTGAGCCAATTCGTACCACAACAGTGGTGTCATAGTCACGTGAACATCGTGATTAACCCTCCCATTGTAACTCTAACACAAAGTCCACTAATTCGGCAACATTGCAAGGGTGCTTCTGAGTTTCCAAAAGCAGATGCAAAGTTTAATGTTCTATTATTATTATTATTATTATCAGCGAGTGTACGAGGAAATGTAGTGCGTTTAAAACAACCAAAAGGAAGGCTTGAGTGGTAATTGTTTTATTATTTAACTCACTTAAAAGCAATGATTACGTTTTTTTAAATTTTTAATTTTTCTATAACCTTTCCAGTTAAGAAGCAATTACTGTCAAGTGAATCTTAAAAATCACTTTTTCTTGTGATTCAGGCACCAAGGAGGAAGACATAATCAAAGTTATCGGCAATCGAAATCTGGCTCAGAGGCATCAGATTCGTCTAGCCTACTTTTCAAAGTACAACAAAGTACGTATTAGCAGTTCAGCCATTCTGATCCGGCTAAACGTATATAAAGGGTCCATTGAATTCCACTTATTTCATGGTCGTTGTACAGAATCTGCATTCGAAGACCACATAGAGACCTGCATATTCTTTTAAAATGAAAACACTATTAAACTAGAGAAGCGATGCCATCAATTACGCATGGACCGATTTTATTATCAGGTCTGGCCTCGCAGAATACCCCATCTAATTATCGACGCTGTAACTTCATTAATTCAGTCGCACATATAGACTCTGACTTGACCCCTTTTGATTTTGAAAAGTTCGCTCACTAGATACGTTGTGCGGTTTAATGAATTAGCAACAATCCCTAGCCTGTTTTCAATCGTGGAAGGCTGCTCATTGTCGCCTGATTCTTTAGCTTGAGTTTCTGATCTCGCCTAAAAATACTATGAGGAAGAAGCCCGGCTAGGCAGTGGCTACAAAACCAGTCAAAGAGATGTATACATTCTTTGTGTGTCTAAGGAACTCATTCTAATAATTCCTGAGAGAATCATCCGCATGGAACGGTTCTAAAAATCGTTAACAAACGATTGCACTTTTAGTGATTAAAGTGATTGCAATGAAACCACAGCTAAACTTGTGCTAGCGCCTCTGTAAGAGCATTACAAATTGTGATTTTACGTTGCAGGACCTTCTTGATGTCCTAGACAGCGAACTGAGCGGTGATTTCGGTTATCTTTCAAGAAGTCTTTTCCTTGGACCCATTCAAGTCTTGGCGATGGATCTGTACAAAATCTTCAAAAAGACCGGCTCTGCTGGCGGTGATATAAACGACATAATCTGCTGCCTCAGTCCCTCGGAGATAACTGCTCTGAAGGCTGCCTACTTGGAGGGTGAGGCCCCACTTGATGCACACTTACCTAACTCTAAATCAATTGATAGAAAATCGTTTGAGATAAAAATAGACGTCTGTGCGTGCCAATTTTAGCAATGAAAGCACAGGTGCTTCCTTTGAACACGGAATAAAATTCATACAAGAAGCCGAATTGACGCAAATCTGGTTGTGTGTCATTCCGACACAGATGATGATGATGCTGAAGATGAGCCGATTGACCTTCATGCCCCAGAGGATAACAAGCTAGGTTCAGGGAGTGTGTTGGAGCACGAGGACATCTTAAAGGTTTTAATTTAGTCATGGTGACTGTTTAATCAAATAAAAAAAGTAATGGCGAATGGGTAATGCAAGGTGCGGCACACACAGGGGAATTGCAATTAATAAATACTTAGTCATGAAGAATTAATAAACTCTACCATTTTTCTTTGTTTTAGTTCTAAATTATGAAGGAGTAAAGGGTACGTGAAACCTTAGCAATGTTCACCTTGATCTTTTCATACAAATATATGCAATTGACCTTGCATGGTTACCAAAAATGGAACCCTTCAACATAGACATTTCTGCCCACCTTCAAGGGTAATTTGTAGGTTTGTAACGATAACTTTTGTGCGGCTGGCTTGCTAAATGAACCATTACAAGCAAAATTCAAATTACTCGTGAAATCCAGTGAGACGTGTGGACTTCATTTTCCAGACAAATTACATTTTAACAATGCTAAAATCCAACCTTCCCTTGAGGAATTTTAAATGTCCATTTCTCTTTCCGGAAATTGTTGGTTTGATTAAGGAGGTAGAGTCCTTAAACAGGTGTTCTGAAGTTTACATTTCTCTGGTACGTTATGCGCCATTGTGATCGGGTCAGGGTTAATTCGTGTTGTCAGTTTGTCACAGACATTTGCACCGGGTGCTGGTGAACCTTGAACTGACAAGGCTGCCTCATGGAACGAGTCACAGAATGAAGTCAAGTTAAATCTTGTAGACAAAGCGCGAAGCCTGGAGAAGGACATAGAGAAGGAGACCAAGGGTCAGCATCGAGACTTCCTTCTCAAATTTATCAACACTAATCGCCGTGAATTCACCCCAGAGGAGATTAGGTCGGTTGCCTCGTCCGGGCGCTGGGACATGCTAGTGGATATGCAACAAGTGGAACGTAACGCAACTGCCATTCACGACGCGACAGAGGGGTGAGTAAACCAAAATTTACCTGTATTTGTTCTCATGACAGGACACTGGATGCTAAGTCAGCAATAAAGCGTACAAAAGACTGCTTACAATAGAAACTCGTTCCATTTGGCGTGATGGCTTACACATGCAAGCCACAAGTACTTGATTTGTCCAATTAAATGGGTCATACAAAGGCGTTCTGTGCTACATTTATCATAGACTGTTTCTGAAACACGTACTAAGGTCATTTAATTGTCATTATCAATGCATGTTTTGAACGTTGCATTTAATTTCCTGTCGTGCGGGCCTAGTATCCTTTCACTAACTCAGGAGGGTCTAAGTGTACACTGAGCGTGTATCGCCTGTCTAGTGCACGAGTGGGTCTTTTATATAAAAAAAAGTGCTTGAAATCGCGTAGGGTGGTGCTTCGTCCACAATCAGTGACAGTAATTAGAGATTTAGAGTTTTCTGTGTATTATTGTATGAAATATTAAAAAAATGTCAATTCCGTTGTACTTAGCACGATTACATCGTGTTAGGGATTTAATCAGAACTGAGAAGTCGATATGTGATTGTCGCTTAACTCAAGAAGCAGCACCGATTAAAAGGTGAAACAAGCACCCCGGTTACAAAAATAGACTTACTGAGGCCTTCATGCGGTCCTATTTTTGATCTCTTTTAAAAGGAAAGCTGGTAAAGGAAACGAAGTAGAAGTTACAAGAATCCTTTCTACTGCAAGCGCCTTGGATCTTCGGGCAATGTATGACCACTACCGTGATGTAGGTTTTTTATGTTTCAAGCAATGCAATTAATTTTTAATTTTTTATCAGAATTACCAACGTGGACTTAGTAAAAATTACACGCTTCAGTTACACATAATTAGTTCCATAAATTAATCTTTCAATAAATCAAATGGAGTGACGTAAATGGGGATATTTCGAGGATTTAACTAAACAGATACTACTGCGTTGTAGATTTCCAGTGTGTTAAATTTATTCTCAAGAGATGGTGTGGTCTACAATAAAAGTGCTGCAATGCTTTGGCACAGCATCATATCAAACAAAAAGGCCTTTTCACTACCCGCATTTTTGCGAGAAATAATTATGAGGGCAAATGGCTGTACTTCAATTCCTGACCTAGGGACCTCGCTTAAAATCCACATTACGGATTTTTACCATTAATATTTTAACGGTAAAAAGGACTGACTTTGGTCGACAGAATGTCATAGATGTAAAGTTCGTAAATGTCTTAACTCAGGATAAAAACGAAGCCATTTCTATTTAGTTTATTGCAAAAAACCAAAAACACATGCTTTTTGTGCAATCACTATAACATTGTTGATTTTAACGAAAACTAATTGGGCTAGCGTTTACTTACTGCCCTTAATTGAAACTAACTCGGGCAAAGGACATTTCGTGACTTTAATTTGCATTAACATGAGGACAAGATGAAGTCCTGGGGAACTCTAAATCACATTGCTGTTGTGTTTCATCAGCCAAAGCCCACGTAACAGACTCAAATTTCTACCAAGACTGAGGAGGATGAGATAATGAGAGACTTGAATAATGACTTACGCCTTCTTACCTTGAGTTAATTAAGCTGTGCGGTCGTGCCTGCTTTTATTCCCGATGCTTGACTGCGAAAGCACGCATTCTAGTCCGCGGCTTCGAACCAAAGTGGTACAATCCTGAGCGTTGGCTTTTGACCATAGTTTGTAGACATTTACAAGGAGTGAAAAAAAGTGAGGAAATGGAATATGCGTTAGTAGTAATAACTGGATAACACGTCAGAAAAGAACGATTGATTTTGAGTTATTAACGGTTAAACACGCGTGCCTTAGTGAGCAGTGCCCTTCTTTTTGAGCCACAATTATTTAAAATTAATTGACCAATTTTGGATGTGTTCTATGTAATGATACTGGATAACGGTACAACCGTAATAACCACGGTCCCTTGTAACGTGACTAGCTTTAATTATTGCACAAGCCATGACAGATTTCATGGTGAGTGCGCGTGTAGCGTGTTGCATTGGGGAAATTCCCAGGATGCCTGCCTCTAGGCTTCAACCTCTAATCCTATAGGTCTACAAGGTCTCGATGGTCGATGCCATCTCCAAGGCCTTCAAGAACCCGCTACGTAATGCTTACAACAACGTCAGTAAGTAAACCTTGATTGTAACAAACTTGTCTTTAATATGCAAACAGCACATGAGTTAGAGAAAGCGCAAAGGCATATGCTCAGTGTAATTACAGTAATATGTTTCTTTTAAGTAATGACCGCAGTCGACCTTCGACTCCTCCTGGTTGCGCAGCTCTACAACGCCATGCACGGACTGGGAACCGACGAGCGCACGCTCTCGCGCATCTTCACCATTCGGTCTGAGGTAAGCGCCTAAAATCTGCGTGTCACTGTGCCTTTTTGCACAAGACTACTATTCACATTCCCTACTTCTGCAATTAAAATAAGCAAAAAATAAACACATCTCTCGACGGATTTATAAGTGTGTCGGCCGATTTAAACTTAGCCGTGAAAATGCCTGATCGCATAGATGTGTCATGTCTGTAGAACTTTTTTACGATATTTTAGTTGCACATTCTGTGTTAGAAAACTTCCCCACACCAGTTTGAGGGTAAAATTTAGTAGACAAGAGCCAAAGCAACACAAACATGTCTCTCCTCAATATTTTTATTTACTAAATATCCATTAGACGTATTTTCTGCTAGTAAAAGTTGTTGTATTCCACATGAGCAATGCGAAATCTTCTGTGGACTGCAAAAGGCTAGCGAAGACAAAGTAGCTGATAAAATCTCCGAAATTTTGACTCTACTGAAAAATTTCGTAAACGTAAGTGAACATGGAAAAAGGAGCTAGCTTAACCACATCACTGAATGTTTGTCGAAACAGAAAATGAGATTTCCCAAAAGCTAAACCATCTTTGTTAGCCGAACATTTGCCTATTTAGTCAAATGAATTTCCATGATCATCGTTAGTCAGTAAGCACTCACCCCAAAACAGGCTTTCTACGGAGACTGAAGGTTTAGTAAACAATAGAAGACGTTTGCGAATATTTTCTATGCCTACTTTTGGTTTTGGAAAATTAAGTTATATTTTAAAACAACACCATGGAAGCTTAACACGGTCTAACCGGGGTAGCGAGATTTGGCTTTGAAGTGTTGAAATAAACTGTTGTCCGCGTTTTAGATCGACCTTCACAACTTGAGGATGCTTTTCCAAGAGAAAGTCGGGCGTTCATTGGGGGAGATGGTGAAGAGCGACACCAGCGGTGACTATCGTTCCCTTCTTCTGACCATCCTCGGAGAAAAGTAGACCGTGGCTGATTACGCCAACATAATGCCTGCACATCGGAATCATAAATGGCACTTTCTCGTGCACTGAAGCACTATTAAACGCTCACGTAAACAATCTCGCCTTTCTGTCAGTCTGTCAGGTTTTGTTTCAGTTTGGTTGGTTTACTTAGGCGCATTTCTAACAAGTTTGGCATCAACACTGTCACACACGGATTCCGATGGGTCTCGAGTGTGGTGGAGTGAGGGTCACCCAAAGTGCCTGGCTGGCGGGATTTCTCCAGATGGGCCATAGTTTCTGGGATAACCAATCGCAAATTTGACGCTCAACCTGTACAATAGTAGCTGAAAACACTTGGCAAGCGACGTAGGCAAGGCCTATGGGTGACCCGTGTTCAAATTCAAATAATACACCTCGCGCATTCTCGTGAGACTAAACACTGTTTAATGCTCAAATAAATTACCTTAGCGATCATAGTAGACCAGAAGTCGTTTATACCTGAATACGCTGAACTCATTTCTAAATGAGGCATTAAAAATGACATCGTTCGACCACAAAGTATCAGCATAAATTTAACCGATTTAATAGTAGGCACAAATAAAATAGCATGACTGGTTAGCTTCTGCATGTTTTGTTCCATTTATGCCCTCAGCTGGGTACTTTATAGCAGATTTTCTAGCAGGCGAACTTAATTTTCTTCTTCCACGTTAGAAGTAATTATGCAGTTTTCCGGCATTTACCACATACATTGTTATGGATGATTTTTCCATCTAGGCCGACTGTAAAAACGAATTGGCTCAAACTGCGGTGAATTTCCCATATAAGACCAAAATTTCCCATGATCTGCACTCTTCAAAATTATTACGAACAGATGCGTCAATTAAAATCTGTGCCTCCTGCTGATTGATAGCAAAAATGTGTGAAAATCAGTCTTTTCTTGGGGTAATTGGGACAATTCGCGACCTATCCCAATGCTTCACTGCCAAGCTGCCAGTTTGTCGGAGTGTGAGCGCGGCCGCTTATAGGTTTGTCAATAGTGAGCACCAGTGTGTGGCAATAACCTCCGTTTTCCCGCAGCAAATCTGAATCAACGTACATCAAAAGCAAGATTGGTCACATTCTGCAAATGTGTCCTTTTATGATGGCCCTAGAAGAGAGTTTTACTTTAAAATTCTGCACTACCGTGGTAAAGACGATTTAATGCAAACCACACAGTCGTGGGCTGCTACGTACGAGGAACAGGCGTAGAAATAGTCACGTGGAGAAAATGTTCCTTTCTTTATGCAAAAAATGAAATGAGCAAACTGATTAACACGCTCTGATGGTAGCGCAAAGTGAATTCTAAACTATTTAATATTTTTCTACACCAAATCATTTATGTGTGCTGGATCTAGGCGTGTGCAAATGTCAAATGCTAACAGTGGTGCCGAGTGGCTACTCCTTGCAGCGGAAAAAAACTGAGCTCAGATCGACGGAAGGAAGAGGTGAATATGAGTGCGCCCAGCAACGTTTCAATAAATGAGCATTGGTAATTAAATTATATTTCGGTGCATGCTGCGAAGGAACAGCACCTGGTTCTGCAATGCACTTTAATTGATTCAAGCTGTTCGCCAAATTTACGAAGTGGATTTGAAAATTACTCAGGAACGCCAAAACCGGGTCCTGGTGACATGAATTATGATTATCTTGAAGAACTGCTTGCGTCTTCCTGAGCCTCTGTAGCTTCCCATCAGCTGTCTCGATATTGTACGAGAGCAAAGGACGAAAAAACGGGGAATAAAACATGCGATTCACTTTGACCCTGTGATTCCCGCATGTCGCAGTCAAATTCAAAGATTGGCTGCAAAGCAGACACAGTAGCTAAGGGCCGTGTTACCCGAAGCAATGTGGTGTAAAATTAGCAATCCCTTGTATTCTAAGACCTTGCTATTGACTTTTCATCTCTTTCGTTAGATGTTGGAGTGAACACGATGCAATCCAGTTAACTTTAGACACCTTCAAAGAGGCATTCGAAGATGACTTTTAAAATGATTATTATTAGCATTTAAATAATTAGCCCTTTGATAGGATAACTTGATCTTAATTTCCTCATCGGAGGATGCCCCTTTAAATGCAATTTTTCAGCGCTTTTTTAAAATCAAGATCAGTGAAAGTGGAGGGAACCTCCCACGTTAAAGGCTAGAAGAGCTTCCACAAGGTTAAGACGCGCTACGTCTAGCAGGCACCAGCCCTTGAGCCTAGACTGGGCATTTTGTGGTCACTTCAGTCCCAAGAAGGTCTCGTTCAATTCGTGTCTTTGAAAGGAGCCAGCATCGAGCCGATTTCCCTGACTCCATTCAGCACATGAAGGCACTTTAGTATACTACCTTCTTTAATTTGACTGTTGATTTAGACATGTTTCGAGTTAATCCTCGTGGTTTGGGGTAAAGTATAAGAACTACCCTTTAACTGGATATGCTTAGTTCATTCTAAGCTGTCGTAATGGCTCCATATAAACGAGAGGACATAGGTTCAGTAGTTTACTTTTATCTGTAGGAATAGAAGACTATTTAATATGCAAAAGTTTTGCTAATTATTTAGTTTAGGCACTAGTTTCTAAAATAATTTGCATTTTCTCACAAAACAGCTACTAGCAATTTCTAGTAATGTGTTTTGCAGGACACGGTAACGGCTGGCTTAATGTCGATTTACGCTACTCGTCACCATGTTCTGCATTTAATGCAACTACTTTAATCACGAAACAAATGCCTCCCATCTAAAACATGGGACCGAGTGTGAAAGAGGTTTGGCTTAAGCCAGTGTGTACTTATTATCAGCTCACAAACGTGAGTAGCTGCGCACGATGAGATTTCGCCGACGCGTAATCCGAGAAATTCGTGCTAGGTAGTCACACACTTGAGCAGTGAGACGTGGCGTATGTGTGTGTGTGATCAACGTGTGTACCAGTAAAACGCTAGTTCTACCTACTTGCGGGCCACTCTTATAAAACTTCCGGTTGGTTTTTCAACCAAAACAGCAATTTAACGTTGTGAAATCTACAACTGTTTTGTTCCAACATCTAAACAATAGAGTTCAATTAACAGGTAAAATTTACTTTTACAAATTAAATTGACAATTAGTAAGTGACAACTTAGTGAAACAGAAATATTATAACCCGTTAATTATTTTAAATACGCGTAAAGCAATCAGTCAATAATACTTTTATTATGTTTAATTAGGCAGAAGCACAATTCAAAGTATATTTCAAGGTCTAGGAGTAATTTATACGAAATGTGTGCAATTTAATAAGCGTGTTATTTGACCGATGACAAGCTACATCTTCTGCTGAAAATTTCCACAAAAGTTTTAACCAAGGGTACATGAAACTGCGATATTTGTTTAAGAGCTTTTGACTAGTAAGGTGTTTGTGATCAATACTAAACTTTCCACCACCTACCGTTATTGTTTTAAACGTTTTACAAGTTCTTGAATTTCTTCCTTGCTGAAAATACGTGTTTTGGATTCTCCCCATATGAGCGATTGTTTTGCAATGTTCTAATTATGCTTGAGGTTCAACACTGAGTTAGGTGAGTTATAATGCTTGTCAGCAGTAATTGTTTTGCCTGTTGGTGAATTCTCGAAACAATGTTTGCCTTGAAATTCCATCATGATGCAACTAAAACAACTTCATTGACAACTACGATTGAGCCATATATCATGCTTTTTCGATTCCACGTTTCCAGCTTTCATTTGCTGATTTTATCAATGAGAGGATCAATTTGTCGAAGTGAGAGCAGAGAAAAAATAGCTGTGGAAACACGGTGCATTTTGTTCGGTTCTGCAAAAAAGAGGTGTCTGCAAGCTTCTTTTAGTTCCCAAATTCTATTGAATTTTCAGCATTCAGTCACCCAGCTGCCTTTTCAGCGGAGATCAGTGATTTATTAGTCATTAAATCACTAATAAAGTCATTATCAATGACGAACAGTGACACAGGCCAAAATGTATCGCACAAATCGAAGTTACTATCATGGAATATTTTGCTGAAATTTCAGTACTCAGGCCTTGTTAAACTCAAATCAGCTAACGTTGGAGAGCATGTAACTTTTCCATCGTCAATTATGACTAACTCTGCACACAAATTAATTTAAGTGCACAGCGTTAAGTTTGTTTTGGCGAACGATGCATTTCGATAGCCGTCAGTTGGTGAATGATTCTGAAGAAAAGCGCCGCAGTTAACAGTACACTTTCTGCCCTCTATGAAAATCAAGCACAAACGTTTGTACCTGCCAAATGGAACTCCCAAAACTCCTTATTCTTTGTAAAAATGAAACCTCCACAAAACAGGACACTTTAGACCTGACCTCGTCTGAACGCAACCCAGTGAACAGAACAAGCCATTAGCACCTGCAAGTTGGCACCAGGCTCACCTTCGCGTCACAGAATACTTTACTCATTTACGGACACTGATGTTTGTGTGCCAACTTCAGAAGGTAGACGATGGCTTTGGTGGCGTGGTAGCCTATTCACATTCTTGCAGGAAAGAGAAATTGCCATTTTACACTATTATTTGTGTTTATATGGACATGAGAATGCGTGATATAACGAAGATACATCATAGAACCAAAATACCTGCTTTCGTGGAGACCCCCTTTGCTAGTGAATACGTGGCCAAACATTTTTCCGGCCACTGTTTAAAGAGATGTGCTGATTCCCTGATGTCATCCGACGGATAAGGTCGATTTGTTGCCAAGCAAAAAAGGGAGTTGCTTCCTGGCTTCGTTCTCGTCTGTGCCCTACATCAATAAGGCAATCAAATTGATCTCAGGGAAAAATTCCTTTGGTTTGTGCATTCCGGGTGCAGCCTTGACGTTAATATGCACTAAAACAATGTAACTGTTGTGGTGGTGTTTTTTGCAACACCTTTAAGCACAACAGGTCCTGCTCACCCCCAGGGTAGTCCAAAAGGCATCGCACTTGAGCGTGCACAAACGTGAAAAAAAACAAATTCCATAGGGTAGAACCCGAGTTGGCACCGTAGGCGCACTGTAGCTACTGCACGAGCCTCTTCACAGATCAATCGACAAAATCACAAGTGGTGGTGACTGCCACCTGACCTGGATTGGGTGTTACTCATCGCCACACACACACACACAGGCAACTGCTTCTCAAGTGTTTTTGCTTTGTGTGTGTGTGTGCTTAGACCGCTTCAGTTCTGCCAAATCTGAGGAATGCTTTTGCAGGCCCTGTGTGATTTCAGATCTGACTGATCGATGCAGGTGATGCGAGGCTCGGCATTCTGCAGCACCCAAGTGCGTTTCTAATGACGTTGCCTGTTTTACTCTGGTCCACATTGCTTACAAACAATGACCTAGGCATTGAATTTCTTAGCCTCGATTCCACCTTCCTGAACCCGCTTCCAGTT